GCCAACGGGCTTGGACAACGTTTTACCTCATTTTCCCCCAGTTTTTCCCCATTTCCTCCCTGAATTTTCCCATTTCCTCCCCAAATTTTCCCCAAATTACCCGAATTTGCCCAAATTTCCCCAAATTTTCCCCATTTCCCAGGTCCTGGCCAACGGGCTTGGACACCGTTTTACCTCATTTTCCCCCAATTTTCCCCATTTTTTCCCATTTCCTCCCCAAATTTTCCCATTTCCTCCCCAAATTTTCCCCAAATTTCCCCAAATTCCACCAACTTTCCCCCAAATTTCCCCGAATTTGCCCAAATTTCCCCAAATTTTCCCCATTTCCCAGGTCCTGGCCAATGGGCTGGACAACGTTTTACCTCATTTTCCCCCAATTTTCCCCATTTCCTCCCCAAATTTTCCCCAAATTCCCCCAAATTCCACCAAATTTCCCCCAAATTTCCCCGAATTTCCCCAAATTTGCCCAAATTTTCCCCATTTCCCAGGTCCTGGCCAATGGGCTGGACAACGTTTTACCTCATTTTCCCCATTTTCCCCATTTCCTCCCCAAATTTTCCCCAAATTTTCCCCAAATTTCCCCAAATTCCACCAAATTTCCCCCAAATTTCCCCAAATTACCCAAATTTCCCCAAATTTTCCCCATTTCCCAGGTCCTGGCCAATGGGCTGGACAACGTTTTACCTCATTTTCCCCCAATTTTTCCCCATTTTTTCCCATTTCCTCCCCAAATTTTCCCCAAATTCCACCAAATTTCCCCAAATTTTCCCCAAATTTCCCCGAATTTGCCCAAATTTGCCCAAATTTTCCCCATTTCCCAGGTGCTGGTCAATGGGCTTGGACAACATTTTACCTCATTTTCCCCCAATTTTCCCCCATTTTTTCCCATTTCCTCCCCAAATTTTCCCCAAATTCCACCAAATTTCCCCAAATTTTCCCCAAATTTCCCCAAATTTTCCCCATTTCCCCGGTCCTGGCCAACGGGCTTGGACAACGTTTTACCTCTTTTTCCCCCAATTTTCCCCCAATTTTCCCCATTTCCTCCCCAAATTTTCCCCAAATTTTCCCCAAATTTCCCTGAATTTGCCCAAATTTGCCCAAATTTTCCCCATTTCCCAGGTGCTGGCCAATGGGCTGGACAACGTTTTACCTCATTTTCCCCCAATTTTCCCCCATTTCCTCCCCAAATTTTCCCCAAATTCCACCAAATTTCCCCAAATTTTCCCCAAATTTCCCCAAATTCCACCAAATTTCCCCAAATTTCCCCAAATTTTCCCCATTTCCCAGGTCCTGGCCAACGGGCTTGGACAACGTTTTACCTCATTTTCCCCCAATTTTTCCCCATTTTTTCCCATTTCC